TAATAAAAAATGTCAGGAAGATGATTTTACCTATAAGAACTGCTTCAACCCTAACTCCTAACTAACCCTTACCCTAATTTTAATTAAATAATCAAAAACATATGAACGCACTGGGCTTTAACCGTTCCCCATTTTAGGCAAAATCCCTGACTGACTGCAGTACAGAATATGCCTACAAAAATCATGAGCATTATTCTCAAAATTCGAGCGCATGCCATCGCTGTTCTAATAATAATTGACAAGTTTGAGTATTTGTTTAGAGGTAGCTTTTATGGAATAAAACGAGTAATAAACTAATAATTTAAATAGTGACTATAATAATATTAATAATGAGAAATATAATAATTAATATATTGGTGCAACTTACGTGGCATTTAATTAGTCTAACAATCAATCCGTCCTGTTTCATACTGATTGGCCCTGGACCACAGTCTGGTCTAACTTTTTTAAAAGATTGCCAGTCTTTGAATTAGACGGTCAGTAATCACTTAATAATCGAATGATTTTTTTAAGGGGGATACAGAATTTTGCAAATCGCAAAGCGCTATGATTGGCTTTAAAAAAATTGCCCCTAATCAATTATTCGGTAGGCTTGCTATATAAATACTCGTGTAACGTCGATCCCGGAAGATGTCGGATTTGAATGTCCCCTATACTCGAATGTACGTACGTACGTACATACGTACTAAGCATGTATGCATAGTATATTCCTAGCATTAGCGTTAACCATTTCATATTATCCGCATTATTGGTTATCTGTACTACTAGTTGCCTGCATTACATAATGAAATCTCTAGGGTTAAAGACAATTAATAATCATTATCTAACTGATATTCTGTTACGTAAATGAATAATTACTTTTTATATATTCTCAGTATTAGTTGTAAATTAATAAAGATTATAATTTTTTTGCAATACATAGAAAAGTCTGTTATTTACGTACTTAATTGATAGAATTTTTTAAAAATTTTTGTTCACATAAAACTAAAATGATTAATGAAGAAAAACAAATAAATTTCAAAAGATGTATATTTAATCAACATAAAAATTATGATGAATTAGATATAAATGAAGTATCTTCAATATTATTGGACCAGTATAAAATAATTGGTGGAAGGAAGTTCTTAAATGTTCCTGAGGCAAATTACTATCTACCATCAAATGAAATGGAACTTAAGAGAATGGAGATTTATCATGTGTTAAGACGATATTCATGGAAAGGCAATTTTTGTGCTCCAGTTGAAGATATTCTGAAAAATGGTAAAGCTAAGGTTCTCGACGCTGGGTACGTAGCGATATAAATTTGGTGTTTTCTTTATGAGCATCCTAAATTAATAGATTTGTAATATTAAAGGTGTGGGACCGGTTGTTGGGTATTTGATTTAGGAACCGATTTTCCAAATTCAACATTTATTGGTATAGATATTCAATCAAGTGGATTTCCACCAGTAAATGAACGTCTTCCAAATACAGGATTTCTAGAATATAATTTAATAAATGGAATTCCATTTCCTGACGAAACTTTTGATTATGTTCATGTGTCATTGATGTGGTCAGCGTTTACTAAACAACAGTACATAAATGTAATTCATGAATTAGTACGTGTAATGAAATACAACGGATGGATTGAGATTTTTGAACCTAATATGGATTTTAAAAATTTGGGAAATTCTATGAAAGGTGTTCAAGATGCTTGTAAGTTTACATAAATATCAGTGTTGGTCAATTGGATAATCTATTAAACTTATAAACTGGAATTTATAGATTCAAGTTGGAATTTATAAGTCCAATTCAATCACTAGATTTATAAAGGTGTCCAACACTGATACATGTAATGTATTTATAATTCATGTATTCTAAAGAATTAATTACTTTTATTTATAGTTCATACAAAGTTAAAAGAAAATGGGATTGATCCAATGATATTTTTAGACATATCTAAATGTATTAGATCAATTAATGAATTAACTAATATCGAGCACAGAAAATTGAATGAACCAATAGGAGGATGGGCAGGAAGATATGGAGAACATGTAAGTTTTAATATTATTGCATATGTTTTAGCATAACCTTTGGTTTTTTAATCATAGTTATTTTAGGCATTGAAGTCTATTCAACAATTTTATGAATCTGCTACTTATATAGCAGACTATATGGGAATATACCAGGGCGATTATCAAAAATTAATCGAAGATTTCGATAATCAATGTAATCAAAATCGTACATATGTAGAATCACATAGGTTTTTCGCTAAAAGGGTTAAAATTACAGAAACATAATATATTTATTCTTGAAATACAATTATCACTTTTATGTGACTTGAGTAATTTTGTGTAAACCTAGTTTCGGCCCTTTGTACTAAATTTGGCTACAATTATTTTACTTACTCAATTTTGCGATGAAGAATTTTATACAGTAGGTTATTTGGTAATCATATTGAAAAGCGTCTTTATAATCATATGCGTAGATACATGCAGAAATCATTTATTAAAAAAAAAAAATAATTTAAAAGATTTATTTTGTATATTTTTGCTCTATTTACTTCATCTAGTTTATAAGCATAAAATATATTTCAATGCAATTCTATATAAGTGCTTATTATTACAAAATCTGACTTGCGATAAATTTTCCTTTCAAATAATTCATAAATTAATTCATGAATAAAGATTGCGATCATTTTGCAATAAGTATTTCTTTTATATCTTTTCGTATCACTTCTATAGGCAAAGAAGAATTTATATACATCTTATAGACAGTACAGCATGCATTAATCTGTACATAACATTTTCCTCTGTGTGCCACATATTGAAGCCAAGCTGGCCTGAATTCTTGAATACTTATAATAGTTACATTGGTAATAAATTCAATTAAATAATTCACAAAATTAAATTTTATCAAAGGTTATAGCATGTAAGAAACATTATACGTATTCATAATCATTATGCGAATGACATGAAGTTGTAGTAGCAAATGTTAAGGAGAAGGTGAATTGAGAAGTAATTATCGTTTATTGATATAAGGGAGTTGGCAGAAAAGAGCTTATATATACCCCCACCCATAAAAATTTTCTTACCCCGTAATTTATAAAACCGCGTTATAATTAGGGTTAGAGCGAGAACAGTGTAGGGTTAGGGTTAGAGTTAGAGTTATTGTTATTAGTAAAAATTTACAAAGAACATCTTTAATTAGGCTGCAGAAGGTAGTTTCTTAATTAAAATATCGAGTTATTTCAGTTTATTTGTAAAAAATGGTTGTTTACATTACACCTGTTCTTGAAATTTGATTGGCCAAAAATCATGGGAGGGGAAAATTTTTGTAGGTGCGCTAGGGGTAAAACCATTTTTTTTGATTCACGGGGTCCATTTTTTTTGATTCAACAAAAAAGGCCCCCTTTTTTTTTTGTAAGCAACTCGGTCACGCGACTGATTTACATAATAAGTTACACAAACATTTGATCTTGTGTTACACTGATAGTAGTTGATTAAACATACGTATGTACGTACGTACGTACGTACCTGGTACGTTTGTACTAGACATACGTATATAAGAAATTAAAGCCATTAATAAAGTGTGTTGGAATAGCGATAAAAAAGCTTTGTTTGTGATGAACTAAAGAAGAAAGAAAGCAGTAACGATAGTTAAAGAGTGTTTTACCTTCAAGTGGTTGCAAATGAGACGAATATAGTATAATGATCAAAAGCAAAGCTCAAGTAAGTTAATAATTATACTATGTCGAATGAATACAAATATAAATAAGTTTGTTGCTTGAATATATGAAGACTCATCATTATATCTTATTAATTTTAATTGGTACAGGTGTATTGTTAAATGTGAAAGCTAAAAGAAAGCGTAAATTAGACATTATTAATTTATAAACGTTGTACTTGCTTTTAATAATTATTATTATTAAATGTATTTATATATTTCAATACAAACTCTAGAACAAAAAATAAAAATCATAGTTTAATTGAAAGTCGAATGAATATAGAATTGGTATTGAAAAGTTAAGCATAAGGCATTCGTATATTATCAAAACTTACAAAGATACATTAAATAATAAATAAAAGTATATGTTTATATAAGATTACTTTCTTTTAATAGTTACTGTAAAAAGCATTTTATTATTTAATTGCTTATTTATAAAATATATAATAAAGCTACTTATTACATATTATGATTATTGATGTGGTGCTTTTTAGTTTTTTACATTATCAAGATCTTAAATTTTAGTTGCAGTATTGCAAGATTTGGTCTTATTTTTTTTGCGATCAAACCAACTAACTAACTTGGTTGCATTAATAATATCATCATCATCTAGACGGATATTTTGAACTTGACATTCCTTGGCAAATTCCTTTCGATTCCAACCTATACCTTGCTTATCAAAAAGCTCTTCCAGAGCAGGATTATCAATTTTTCTTCTTCTTAGTGGTGGCAGCGATGAAACAATTTCAGTATATTTATTCTGTAAATTCGACTAGAGAATATTATGAAGCAATAAGAAAAATACTTGAAGTTTTTATATCAAAATATATAAAATTTACTTACATATTCTAATGCACCTTTGCGTTTGTTATTTCGAATTCTTTTAGTTCGAAGCTGTTCAACAGAATGTGGTATATTCATATTTTCAATAGCCGTAAGGGGGACCAATGGCTTAATTTTTTAATATAAGTTAATACAAAATTTATTATTTAATCAAATATATAACACTATAAGAGAATTATACTTACATTCCTTGATTTGGGTTGAATAGAGGAAGTGAACGCTGATTCTGAAATATTATTACTAGAGCTTGGCGTTAGCATTGAATCTTGATCATTACAATCTTCCATTATAATGGATAACTTATTCGAATTATCAAGATTGGTTTCACTATTATTTAAAGTAATTGTGCTAATATCTTCATTAAATGTATAAGTATCGTGATGATTATTTAAAGCCTAGAAAATACAGTATATTAATTAGTATACTATAGTACTAAGTATTAATTTGACCTAAATAATTAAATATACTTCATTTTCAATAGCTATTTGATTCTTTGTTTCGATATTAACTTTTGACAAGCCAACAGTAGTATGTTTTCGTTTTGGAAGTTCACTAGGTCTATAAGAATCGTTTTCATTAATTTGCTTCACAGTTGGAAAAAAATATTATCTCCATTTTTTTGATGCTCGCGCAAAATTTCCGCAAAAGCTTCTTTATTAGTTCCATTATAGATTACTCTATTTTTCATATTAGGTGATATTGTTCGTTCTTTATTTCGAAAATATTGAACCAGCTCATTTTTTATTTGATCAACTGATTTTTCATTCGATTTTATAGATACATATTCACGTGCCACATAACCATGCTTACAGAAATTATGAAATGATCCATGCCAGATAAAATCAAGGCAAGTGCATTCACCTGTAATATAATTAACTAAGTAGTAATCAGCATATACTGGAGCTATATGCTTTGCCGCAAGCTTTTTAATCATCTTTGATATCCCTTGAGCTTCATTATCTTCAAACTTAATTTTATCTGCTGTATATGGAGATCAAAAAGTATTTTGCTGTGAATTGCTCATACGTACATAAAATAAATTTTGCTTGTCTGGAACTTCAATAACATAGTTTTGTAGCACTTTCAATCTTCCTTGGTTAATACGACGCACTATATCTGGTTGTGGTCTATATAATCCATTTTGATGTTTAATAGTACGTGAGTTCCAATATATAACAAGTCCTGCATTAAAAACTAACTGACCACAATTATTTGTAAGGTTTGAACGAACAACTTTAATACCATAAAGTCGTTCAATAAAACTTAACACTGTTTGAGTACCCGAATATCGCTCCTCAATAGTTCTGTTCATTCGTTCAGTAAAATTATTAGTGGTCCATGGCCTTACATTAGTTCCATCTTCATAATTTGGTAAACGCCCACCATCTATAAAGCCAAGAATCCACTCTTGACTTATCCAATTCTCTTCAAGATCATGTACAAAAAACGCTTTTGCCTCTATAGAAATTGGAAGTGAATATATAAAACTCTTATATTCAATAGCCATTTCTTTTGCTTCGAATACACTTCTACATTGGTCTACAATCTTAAATGCCAATGCTATTGGATAACTAAATAATATAACGCATATATAAGTAATATAATTATAGTATTGTATAGTTAATATAATTAATTATTGTATATTACCGTAGACTCCAATCAATTTTTTGTGTTCGAAAATGATTCCTAAAAGTCTGCATTATATGGAACCAACAAAGGATTATATCACGAATAATAGGTTTCAATGCAGCCTTTGTTGGTCGATGTTTGTCCATTACTGCAAAAGGTTTCCATTCAATTGCACATGGTCGTATGCGCTTAAATCCTTTATTATTTGGTAGTGTAATATATTCATATGGATGTTCACAATCTACATTTCGACAAGGTATATTTGCCTTTATTGCCTCAACAGCAAGTCTTATTGTATGCATATTTTCCTTATTAGATAAAGCAAATCCTATGGGTGTACCCCAGTTTCCACAATCTTCTACTACTAAAGCATGAATAGGTGCCCGATCATTGTTAAGATCATATTTTGCATCAATACCAAAACAGAATGAACCATAATCGCGTGCTTGTTCTAACCACATATTATCACTTACAGTAAGTTGATAATAATGTTGTGGCGAATTTAAAGGAGCAGCTTGATCTTCTTGTTGATAATAAAGAACAGAGCCATTTTTTTTTAATTCATCTATAATTAATCCATGTAATATAGTCCACAGACCTAGATCACCACGAATATATTTATTGTTTCGTTCTAATAGTTGTTGAAGTTTTTTTTCATTACAGACGTTAGTTCCATATTTTTCTTCTATCTCTAACTGTTCTTTCGATGCACCGTTAAATGGAGCTAGAAGTTTGAGCTTTACTTCTTTTGCAGTACACCCATCTGCTCTCCGACTTAAAATAACCTGATCCCTTATACTTCTTCTTAGATTAAGACGTGTAATAGCTCCTTCATGCTGAATAGGAATATTCGTAGGTATGTGTTGACCTTCTATACATAACTGAACAGGAAATCTCTCAGCGACCATACTAAGTGTAACTCTAGTAATTATACGAACTTTGCATTTATGCATATCATTACCATTTTTTAAATTATTTTTCATCTCATAATTTGAACAATTAGGCACACAACTTCTGAATCCACCACAATCTCGCTGACAATTACCATCACCTGCACAATAAAAAACCCAATACCAAATGCAAAAATCTGGAGCCAAGCCTTGCCGAATTTGAGCAACCTGCATTCGACCCTTTTCTGTAAGTTCAAGTGTATCATCTAAACGATTTGTTGATTTTGTCATACCATTGACAGTTGCCCAGCCTTTAAAGTCAATTGCACCTTCTTCGCATTTAAGTATAACAAAGTTTTTTTGAATTGCCTGATTCATCTTTTGTCGGCTTTGGCATTTGAAACGTGCACCTTTTACAATTGGTAGTGACAAAACATAAGTCTCAACAGCACGTCCAAATGGTAAACCAATACTCCCATCAGAATTTATTTGATGTAATATACACATTAAAGCTGTACTTAGTTGTATAATGTTTGTATATCGTCGTAGGAATAAGCGATTAGCTAATTTACTAGGTAAGGCTCACTTTCTTTGCACAATAATTGTTCTTCAACTAATCACTAATATTTATCTTTGTTTTAAATATGTTGCTCTTTCTACAACTTGCTTGAGGCTCACTTTTAATTGTTCGTTTGTTAGGTAATTTTTCAACTTCTTTATTTCGTTTATTGATTCCTCCTTTAGTTCACTACTAACACCGTCTTCTTTATCTCCAAATGTGTTAACTTCCTATATTTCTAACCACTCTTCTTATTCCAAACACACCATGGCCTTCTATATGTTCCACCTTTATTTCCAGATACCCACTTTCTTATATTCAACCGTACCACCTTTTTTCCAATAAGCTTCCGCCTTTCTTTACTGCGTTTCTTTTGATTTAATAATTGATGTTTCTTATTATTCATTTCCAGGTAAAATTTATTTTCTGCTGCTTTCTAGTTTTCCACTAATGACACCTCTACTCCTTCAACGTACACCTTCTTTGATACCTTGTTGGTAAAATGAGCAAACCTTTTACTTATTGTCGTATTGTGATCTATGACTACATATTTATGTAATTTTTTATTATCGTTATTATCTATGACTTCATATTTATGCAATATAAACTCTAATCTGATACATCATTATAATTTTATATATTATTGCTTAATCTATGACTTCATATTTTATGCAATTTATACTCCGATCTGAAACATTTTATGATTTTCCGATTCAAATATATGTTAGTATAATGCATAATCGAAGAGTATAATGTTCGTGCAACATATAATTGAAACAATGTTCGTGTAACGCATGATCAAATGTTTGTGTAACTTATTATGTAAATCAGTCGCGTGACCGAGTTGGTTACAAAAAAAAGGGGCCTTTTTTGTTGAATCAAAAAAAATGGACCCCGTGAATCAAAAAAATGGGTTTGCGCGCTAGGGGGTTACCCCCTAGCACACCCACAAAAATTTTCCCCTCCCATGATTTTTGGCCAATCAAATTTCAAGAACAGGTGTAATGTAAACAACTATTTTTTACAAATAAACTGAAATAACTCGATATTTTAATTAAGAAACTACCTTCTGCAGCCTAATTAAAAATGTTCTTTGTGAAATTTTACCAATAGCAATAACTTTAACTCAAACCCTACTTAGCAGAAACCTAAATTCCTTAACACATTGAGTTGAGATATCCTCAAGTAGGTTTTGGTAAAGGGTTCTAATTTAGGGTGAGATTGGTATAAATGATAATATTCTGAAGAGGATAAGATAGTGCTTAGAGGTTTATCATCAAAGTAGTTAGAGAAATGATTGTGAATTGTATTAAGAATTTCGTTATGGTCAGTTAGGAGAGAATTATCTAAAAGGAGTCAGTCAATATTAATGTTGTTAGATTTTTCTAATACTTTTTTGTAGAAGATTTTTGGAGTTTCAAGAAAGGTCTTGTTGCGGTTTTCTATTTTTTGTTTA